CCAAACACTGGATGCAGCTTTCCTAAATTTTGTCTGGAAAAGGTAAACAAGACAATACTGTAAGTGAATTCAACATCAGTGATATATTTACAAGAATATATATTTTATATAATGCCTGTCTATTGCCCAAGATCTCTGGAACAGCCCTCATTTATCTATATGTGCCATTTTGTAATGTCTTAAAGACTTTTGTGACTATTACATTCAGTATGTTTCTTTCTACTTTTTTTCCCTCTGCTACCTATCGTGCCATTCCCACACAAGTCACACTAAGTGCAACTCTGTGCAACCCACAACCATGCTCTCTTTTTGATCTGTTATATACTATATGCATAACTGAGAGTAATTTTTAACTGCAAGTCAGTTCTCTGTATTAATTTTTGTAGATTTTCCTAAGTTTCATTAGAATTTTCAAGGGACATATTGCATATTTATTTAGTTAATCTTTTTTTCCATCATTCCGTAGTAGTTAACATGTTTTTTCTACTTCTTTAACAAATAGGACAATCACAGGTAGCATGAAAAACCAGGAGAAAGAGTACAGGCCAATGCACACTGCATAAGATCAAGATTAAGGAAAGGAGCCCATAAAGTTGTAATGGGCAGGTGGCTATCATTAAAATCAGAACACGACCCTATAATAGGCATTCCTATTAATTTGAGAACAACTAGTAGAATAATTGGTTATTCAAATAAAACAGAGAAGGTACCCAAATTTGGAGCTGACACAGATTTTGATGGAGTAAAGGAATACAATTTTAATTGCAGCGTGTGTTAGACTCACCTTGCAGATTGCATTTGTTTATCTTGTATTCTCCTGAATTAATTCTGTGGCAATAATTAACTTTATGCAAAAGATCAATATTCCAGTGCCAAGCAGAATCACATCTACTGTGACAGAAAGACACTTATAATGCATTTCATTCTGTTTTATTGATTTAGTTGGTGTTTTCTACTGTAAATTTAAGCCGAACTGCTAGGGTTATAAAGACTAAGAGAAGTGATAAAGATACCTTTCAATCACTTTCTGTGCATGCCTGGATGAATGTGGGGCAAAGAGCATATGTTCTAAACCATTTAGACACAAAGTCTGTTATAAAAGCACAACCTAATGCTCCCTTCTGGCCTCAGTGTTTGGTCTGGCATAGAGACATTCTCATCTCTATTACACGTAGCTAGGAAAAATGCACTGAAAATCTGTTATGGTAATGTCACCATTTGCAATTGCAGCTTATTGGAAAACTGCTAAATATTATGCATTAAGGTTAGCATACAGTGATAAATAGAAGCATGTTTTCAATGCTATACTCCATACACAGCCAAAGAACACTGAAGGTTAAATACAAGTTGAGCCACAAGCATGAGATATGAAATGCATTACAAGTTTTATTACTATTGTAATAACAGCAAGGAGCATTCCAGCTATATTGGATAAGAAACACTTCAAACAGTTGAGAAGATGTTCCTAGGGATAAATTTTAAACTAATTTGCTCACAGATTTTGGCTACAACCCCTGCATGTAAATACAGAGGCTTGCAACAAAAAATTAATCTACATTGGAAAAATTTAAAACCTAAGTAGTGATTCTTTTTTAAGAGTGTGTCTGTTTTAAGTGTTCTATTTTGTTCTTTAAGTGTTCTTTTCAATGCCTCTTTGGGGCTCATTCTGAGGCTTGCTTACATTCCTACCTGCCCTAGGGTGCATGATGTGATCAGGGCTACAAATCTTCCCCTCAGAAATAAGATGTTTCAGATTCCAAGGTCTCAGTCAATGCATTCACTCCTTAGAGTTCTGAGAACTCCTAGAGGTGCTTTTCAGTGTAAGCAAAAAGCGCAGAAATCTAGACTGATGAACACAGCATACAGATAAACTAGACAAAAATGTTCTAATTTAGATGTAAGCACAAGCATGACATTTTTGTTCTAGTTTCAAAAAAAAAAGTTTTACAGTTCATTTTTTATGGTTTTTAAATTTAAAGGACATTTGGATTACACTATATTAATTTAAAATACTAAAATCGGGAGCTTAAGGACTGTGTCTTGGTCTTAAAAGTGCAGACTAGGTTTCTACAATTTATTCAGGCAAATAGACCTTTCAGGTTCTGGAGGTAGTATTAGACACAATTTGTCCATGCAGTCATTGTCATCAGGCTCTTGTCATTTAATAGGGTGCTTGTGAACCTTTCCTTCTTTTGCTCCAATTTTTTATAAGAGTTTCTGAAAATGACTGTATTGTTTTAATTCAGTATCTACGTAGCACTATTCTAAGTGAGAGACCACAAATGCAAACTCTGTTTTAGGTCTAATCATTGCAGAATATCATACAGAGGAAATAATTTCAATACAGATTTTTTTTTTTTTTGAGAAAACCATTGCATTTTAAAACCCATTAACGGTGGAAGGTAATGATGAGCTGCTCATGGCTTCTGGATCTTGCAGCATTGAGAAGTCAGAATCAACTAGTTCTCACCTATTATTGAAGTCCAAATCAGCAGTAAAACCTTTGCACAATTGCATAATTTTGCCATCATGACAATTTATTACTCTGGCTGAATTCAGAACTAAAAATGAGCTGTAATGACCAAAATTTTCTTCCTCATATATAGGCAAGATACCTGCAATCATCTGAGAGAGTTTCTTATAAGAATGGCTTAAAGGCGTTACAGTAGTGGCTAAAATATTATGACATGAGACAGACAAGAGAGGTTAGACTCTAAAAAGATTTATTTGAGAAAGCAAGAAGAAGTAAGTATTATCACTTTTTACATGTGCTGAACCAAGGGAAAGAGTTTTAGTTAGAACCTTGAACAGAATGACACTTCATGCTGTAAGCTAAAATTTGTGCCAGAACTGGGATGTGCAACCAGCACTCTCAAGGTCTCTTTTGACATTTAAACCTCAAGGATAACCTTTGTTTTATTCTATAGTATGCTAGAAGGATTTTATTTACTGGAAGCAAAATCTTACTCTCTTGTTAAAGCCTGGGGCAGTTAGCGTGATTTCACAGTAGAGCAAGGAAGTGCAGCAGGATTTTTGCAGCTGTACAAAAAGGTACACACATTTTCCTTTGTATCCCAGAAACACAGTACAGACTTCTCATGGTATTACACTTCAGTTATAGCAGAGGTGATCTGGAAAGGAATCATGAGCACAATTTGTGGTGTTGTCTTGGTTGTTGGTTGTCAACACTGAAACATCAACCACTCTCTTGTTCACTGCCCTCCTACCACTTTCCTTTGCTTCCCACTTAGCAGGATGGGGGAGAGAACTGGAAGAGCAAAAGCGAGAAAAAATTTGTGGGTCAAGATAAAGACTTTGTTATTTAAACAAAGAGACAAAAAGCAAGTGATATGAAGGCATCATACACTAGCTTCCACAAGCAGACCCATGTCTAGCCAACCTCAACTCAATGGCTACCTTAAAAAGATTACTCCCTAGTTTTACTGCTCTAAAGATGAAAGATGGAGATCAAACTACTACTAGCAAGCTCTGACACTTTCCTTGTCTTTTTAAAATTTTTTTCTATTTTTTTATTGTTTTCATCTGCCTCTCTTATTCTCCTCCAAAGGACTTATATTAATAAAGTAAAATCTGACCTTATAAATTTCTTTTTCAGTTTTACAGGTCATAAGGTTTGAGCTATTCAGATAATGTCAGCGGCTGTTCTTGATGTTTATTTTACCCAGTGTGAACTGCCCCTGAGCTGAATGTTTATCACTAAGAAATAGAAAGTTGATTGTTAAATTTTTTCTTTTTGGAATTTGTTCTCATAAACATGCATGAGAATACTTTGCATGATGATAACTCAGTATGCTCATGACGGGTAAGTTTCTGTTCTAACAACTACTGTCATGCAAAATACTTTATTTCGTATACTTTAGAGGTGTAGGAAAAGTTGTAGCTGGAAGAAGGACCTTGATTTTTGCCGTCTAGGACTACTTCATTTTGTTAGCTTTGTCACTTGACACAGAAGGCCTGAACATATTTACAGAGATCATAAAACTTAGATAATCTCTCTTGGGGATGAAAAATGTGTTTAGTATTCTAGATTACTGACAACTAGTGAGTGTTTAAAAAAGTCACTTTTTCATTGTTCATTTCCTAAAAGGTGGTAAAAAAACCCTCACATTTAAATCAAATATATCTGAATGTCTTGATAGATGTCTACCTCAGGTATGTAGGTTTGTTTGTTCTAATGCAATTGCTGTTAATTCATTTCCTACAAGAGTTGGACACATTTGAATTTTCTTTGCCTAAAAGGTGAATTTCGCTTTCAAAAGGTCCATCAATAGCTTTAAGTCATAATAATGTAGCTGTCTGTACACTTTGGATTTTAAAATATGAAACTACTACTTTATGCTTACTGTCCAAAAGCTAAGGCAACAACAGTTATTACTTTGATAGCTTTACCTTGCCTCTTTTTTAAGTCTCTTTTTTGTCTCTCAAAATTATGATGCAAGAGGTTCTTGCCAGGGAGCAGCAAAACTGGTGGCTCTGGAAAGCAAATTGAACTGGGAGCCAAGGATGACAGCAGGAGAGACAGAGGCAGTGCCCTGCCAGCTGAGAAGTGCAACCTCAGCATACCTGACAGGAAGGACAGAACAGACCTCGAGATCAGCCAACATTTCAGTGATCAGTGGACAAGTCTGCAGTGATAGACCAGATCCAAGATCAAGTGCAAGGTACAAGGCTGAGCACAAATACAACTGCCACAGGTAAGGATAAGTCTGGATAAGAATCAAGGGCAAAGGCCTGAATTTAATGCAGCTCTCAAAGAGAAGGACAGTATAGAAGAATCTAGACAAGGCTTCTAATGGTTCTTTTTGATTGAAGCATCTTCCAAGGTCTCACAGCTGCACCATATCAGCCCAGACTAAGGGCCTGGGGGGAGAAGAGATTGTAGGGTCTGCTGATGTAAGTAGAACCTTGACAGCTGTACAGTTACAGTGAGTCTTAGAAAGTAAAGAACTGGTGAAGGTTTCTCATTTGTTTAGGGAAAATTCAGACTCACTACGGTGTTAGACTAGATTTGGGTGGCTGAAGACAGATGAATAAAAGTTTGAGACAAAGGTAATGTATCTTGCAGAACCTAGCAGTGAGCAGCTCTTTACTTCTTGCACTCTCTTCAACTATTCTGCTGTATTGCTTGGCCTGAGCTTGGGCTGTTTGCTTTCAGCCTGGATTCAAATATGCAAATATGCAGCCTGGATTCAAATATGCAATTGAAGATTTTGTGCATTGACAGCGAGCAGCACCTGGCTATGCTGTATTCTTTAGCAAAGCCATTTCTACTCAAAGACTACCTTCAGTTGTAAATACAGAAAGAATTTGTAAAGGGTTACCAAAGAAATAATTTTTTTTCATGAAAATGTTATTCTGATACGATTCTGTGTGAAATATCTAGTTCTTACTTGCTTAAATATAAATTGTAGCCTCAAAAAAGATAAGTGGATTCAAGCTTGTTTGCTTTTATGTTTATAAGAATCAAAGTACTGCTTTCTAAACAAAACATTGAAGTATCAAATAAAATGTGAATTGTATTTGGTTGAATACTTCATTTTTAATACCTTTTTTTTCCTAATCCACTGGAATAGAGTAACATTACTGCCTCTTCAAATGCATAGTAAGTTTAAAACTGCTGCCTGAACCACAGGTGGCAGTACATGTTTAAGTATGAACATATACAAGCAGCTCATGTCAGTACAGGAAGAAACTTGATTGTTGCTTGTTCTCGTTCAGTTAATCAAGATCAAATATTGTATTTCTTACACTCTGTGAAGACAAACCTGAGTTTAATAGATTGGACTACATGTAATAGAGTAATATTACAGACCACAGGAATGTCCTGAAGTAACTGTGGTTACAATAAGTGACACTGTAGAACAGGAAAAGGTTCTGTATGTTGTCTGTTCTGAGTTCTACTTGACTTTTTTAGTCAAATGAATTAGCTAATCAAAGCTAGGCATGGATGGATTTATTAATGGCCATGTTCCTACCTATGCATCTATGAGACTGAGCATTTTTTAATCTGCTTTGGGTTTGTTTACTTTTTTCTAAAAGTAGACAGTAATTATTGACAGCTTTTAATATAACTACCAGAGGCTGACCCAAGCGTTCAAGAGACTATTATTCTGACCTAAAGTCAGAACACTAGAAAAAGTTTGGAAGTTATTTGCATCCAATAAGAAAATACTATTTTTGTCTGTAATAATTAAATAATATATCTGCACTAATTGAATATTTTCATTTTTGTAGCATCCTTTACTACAGATGTCCAACAAATTCTGAGGTAAAACACTCATAGTGAAATCATACAATGGAAAAAAGCAGTAAGAGAACATTTTTTAAGCTTTATTTTTACATTTGAGATTCATCCTTCGTTGGTAAAGCAGTATCTAAGTATTCAGGAAGAGTGATCTAAGGCTTCCTTCTACCTGCTAATCTTCCTAAATGGACAGAGAGCGGTATGGGGGAGAGAGTGTTTGAAAAATGATGGAGCTACTACACCATTTTCCTGTATTCTTCCAGATATTATTTACTATTTTTTTTATAGTGTCAGAACATAAGGATAAAAAGAGTCATGCTTACATGTATGAAAAGAGCTGTGGTTGAATTTCTTGTATCTAGAAGGAAATCGGCACATGATTGGCGTGATGATCTGGTGGCGACTGAAAGATAGTTGGGTCTTTCCCTGTGTTCTCCCCCCATTCCGACCCCTCTTTCTTGCAATTGTCTTTGATGGGCAATGAGATCTGTCCTAAGATAAGAACACCAGGTGGGAATCACAGGAGGAACTCTCTGGATGTTCCCACAATTGATGCATTCCACAGATGGGGGAGCTGTGATGATTGTGATGGACTTTGGTACATATTAGAATGCAAAAGGGTATAAAATGCTGCTAGAGACTGGGCAAACTGTTGTCCTGAGGTTTCCGGCAGCTTCTGGGTGCATCCCCTCCACCCCGGCAGGGACGCCTGCAGGGGACGTCCAGGCCAAAGAAGGAACAGTTGTTTTCGGGTGGGTGAGTAAAGTGGTAAGATTTGGTCACATCAAGGAATGAAAATCCCAAAGTATCTCCACAGGCGCTTTGTTGCTTTGTAATTGTACATTCTGCAAGCCCGAAGATAGTAAACCTGCACATTTCTAGCTGAACCTGCTTATATTATAACCGTATTATATTATAGACTGTATTGGCAATATTTAGATACTGTATTAGCAATAAATGTAATCATAATCATCTACATAATCAGTGACATGTTTCTCATACCTGACTAAGAGTCTTTTCTCTACTACTCTACTACAGAGTCCTAAAAATCCCACTATACTACTGTATCTAAAAATGTAGGAAACCCTTTTAAATGTCTGTTATTTTACTTTGTCATTAAAAGGGGAATTCTCTGAAATTATATTTTCTTTTAGTGTTTCAGAAAGAAAATATAATATCCTAATTCTGGGAGAGATAAAGAATTGTTTGAAAAGCCTTATCCTGAGGTTCAGTGATTCAAAAAGTTTCAAAAAGAGTCACTTAAGGCATTGCAGATTTTTGCAAGAATGCGAGTTTCCCGTTCAATTCTTAGGGGCCAAATGTATTAGTAAGATATGTAAACCAAAAAATAGCACATAATAGCCTCCTGTTACCTCTTTTCCTAGCTCTACTGTAACTGTTTCTCAAATAGACTTTTCTTTTTAATCAGTCATTTAAAAAAGAAAATTGATAAGTCATATTTAGAAAAGAGTTCAGTCCAGTAGACAGATTCTGTTTGGCTTTTCAGTGAGATATTTTGTTCCCCCTACTGATAAACTGACTAAATAAAATGAAAATGTTGATATCGTTCAGTGGTCCAGTGGATGCTACCTGTCATCCTAAATTCTACCATCACCTTAGCCACTTTCAAGAATGAGAATATTTTAGCACCAGGAGGTCTACAACCGACACCTTGTTTACTTAAAAAAAAACCACAAAGCCCACATTTCTTTTTCAGACAAATTTGGGATAGTGATCTTGTATACCTTCAGATTAGAAGTCATATTTCTGTACATATTATAATAGATATTAATTATTTATAAGCTACACATGTTCTAATCAAAATTCTCAAGAGATATAGACAGACTTTAAAAAAGCTCATCTTTCTTCTTGTTTGAGGGTCCCATATATATTTATGAAATAGATATTCTTGCCACCCTGTTTTCTGATTTGAACTCTGCTAGAAATTTATCTCAACAGTCAGTGCATTTGGGGCTTCTAAATCAAGTACAGTGCTCAGTACTTCAGGGATAGGACAGGCACAAACTGCTTCACTCAACACTACATAGACTAATGATTCACAACTGCTTCTTTCATTATAAAGCACTTCACATAAGAAAGGTGTCTTAGTGATGCAAAGTCTTGATTTAACCTGATTTAAAACAGTACTTGACTCAACAAATGTTCATATTTAGCCTCAAGAAAAGACAATATCACCTCATTACCTAGCTGGAGTGGTGGAGTCTGGTGGTTGTTTTTTGTTTGAGAATATTTTGTGTTTGATTTTTGTGTATGTGTGTGTGTGTGTGCATGTGCTTGGGTTGTTTATATAGTATTTTATACAAGGAATAAAAGTGAGGCTGAATGTTACACTGATGCGTAACTTCTGACAAAGTAATATACAGAGCTCTATACACGTGAAAGAGATTTTTTTCCAACAAAAAGCCATTCTTGCAGTATAAGATCATATCTTCTCTTGAACACTCTGTACCTGTGAAATAATTTTCCTTTTGTTTCAGTGTTTTTCTATGAATTGTCCATTCTTCTGCTTTATTAACCTAAGAGGACTCTCAATAATGCGTAAAGGCACTTTGAGCACCACTGATTATATTCCTGTGGGATTCAGTTTAGCACAAAAAATTGCCATGTAATCAATATGTGTGATGACCTGTGCTGCAGTCAAAGGAGCTGACCATGGTGACTGTAGAGGTGGTGCTTTCTGACTGGGGCCAGACTACCTGAAAATGTCTCCAAATGGTGTGCTGCTTCAGGGAGGCATAAACAGTACTAGCAGATAGAGTAAACAGCAAAAGGTTTTGAACTGATCTTTTACATGAAAGGCACCACTGAAATGTCTAAAAATTGAAATCGTAGTGGGTTCTCTTAAGAATGAAATAATAATAGCAGACATACTTTCTAGAAATAATTTCCTAATGAAGTCTCTCTGATTTAGTTAAATGGCGAAATGTGCAATTAATGCCTAAATGTACAGTGCCTAAATCATTTAAATGCCTGACTTCTCTCTCTACATTCATAGAGTTGCTCTGGATACTGCATGGAAGGTCTGATGTTTCACTGATTCAAAAAAAAAAAAAAGGTCAATTCATAAAAAAATATTTGTTCTCTGTACATGTGTGTTTTGCCCTGACATCCTAATTGTAAGCAAAGTCATTAAATTAATGTCCTATTTCTGAAGCACGAACTGGCCAACAAACAGTTGTAAGTATTGAACAAGGAATACAATATACTGTATTGTTATTTTGTAAAGAAGTTATTACACTTCTTTACACTTGTAAAGAAGTTATTGATGACTGAGCTCAAACATCTTTTATGCTTATAAAAACAAACAAAACACTTTAGGGGTCAATGATCAGGAACTCTTCTCCTATGTGTTTTATAGTGCACTTCATTATTCAATACAAGACTTCATTATTCAATACAAGAGTGAAAGAGATCAGCATGGGACGAAATAGAAGACTAAAAAAGACCACATTTTTTTGGTCTGAGTTGGTATACCTTATTAATTTTTTGGTCTGTTCTTGCTTCTTTTGATAAAAGACAGAGTTTCTCTATAGTATCCTATCCTATTTAAAATGTCGTGCATTTGAAGTTATTGCTTCCTCTGCTCAAACATGTTACTTCTCACCCTCTATGTCCTTCATGTGAGAGACAGTAATTCATTAGACATAGCTGTGACACACTGCTAGGCAAAGTAACTTGCCTTAAAAGTCAACTTGCCTTCTATAGAGTGGCTTCCAGGACAACTTTGTTTTGGGTGACAGAATTAGAAGAATATCCAAAAAGCTAGGAAAACATAGTTAGATACTGTAGCTTAAAATGCAATTTTAATATAGCAACTGCTTGTTAAATTAATTTTTGAAATGATCTAGTTTTATCACTGATTAGGATCTAATTGTACTTTACAACCTCATGAACTTTTCAGATGTTGTAACCCACTACCCCACTGTATTGCATTTTATTTGTTATTCTTGTTTGGATTCTCAAATACAGAGAATTTTTTGGTGTTTAAGTCATGCCACTTTCGAAAATGCTAATTCAGGCAACTCCTTCCGCTCTTCTTTCTGGGGTTGGAAGTTGATACTGAGTAACAGCTGGATGAAGGAGAATCTATCACAACCCTCCACTGTATTACTGACACCATGAACTGCTGGCAGAGCAGTTAACAGGGCAATGGAAGTGATGGTACTATGTCATGGCAGGCTGATGGAACTACTCAACTTCAAGTTACAAAAAGTATGTCTGATCTCCCAAAAACTTTTTTTCATTAATTTTTATCATCAAGTGTCCTGAAAACAACAGGTCACAGTTTGTATTTAGAATGCCAGCAATCTCCAGAGTTGGTGAACAGTATGACAGTGAGGTGTGAGCTACTCTAATGAACACACGTGACCGAATGACCAAGAACAAAATATACAATCAGTTATCAGCATCCTGACAACATATAGCACAGAAATACTGCCATCTATGTATGAATCTGTAACCCGATGTTTCAGTGTACTGAATACAAGATAGTGATTTTACTATACTTCAAAATGGGAAGGAATAAAAAGCTTTTTCTTTCCCAAATTTTCACATAGCTGCCACTGCCTCTGAATAGAAAGTAACAGGGAGGTGTGGTGTCTGAAACTCACACTTCTCCTTCAGGGAAACACGAATTCTTCTCTGCACAGTTTTGGGTTTTACTTAGCAGTGAAAACTTTGCAACACAGTTTATGCGTTTTCACTGCCTTTAAATGATAATCAATGTCAATTGCCAGCTCATTACAGACCTTTTTTATGGATCATCAGAAACGCAGTACCTGAGGGGATGGCCTTACTTATTCCACTGAAAACCAATTGCACCTGCTATTTAAGGTACAAAATGCAGCCTACAAACTAGCAGACCAAAACAATGACTACATCAGACTCTAATTATTTCTGCTGGGAAACCTTACTTTTTCTATGGACATAAAACTCCCTAGTGATCTTTAGTAAAGAAGAATTTAGCAATGCCAGTTCATTTAAAGGAACATCATGTTTAGATCCATGTGATTTTTGCTTTACATCACAAAACTCAAATTAGGGAAGAAAATTGCTTTGTCATTGAAATGCCAACCTCAAAAATTATGGAATGAAAATTGGGCATCTTTACTGTGAACAGTTTTCTGCTTAATAAATTTTACAAAGGTTGGTGGGTTTCTTGTTTGTGAGTGGTAGATGTTTTGTTTGTGATTTTGTTGTTGTTTTAGGGGGAATATCAGTATATATATATTTATTTATTTATTATGTATTATCTTGACAAAAATTGAGGTCAGTTCTTTAGACTGTGCCTCTGAGCAGCCAAGAAGGTACAGATGAAGTCAGAAAAAGAAACAAAGGTGCCTATATCAACAGTCTATGTTGTAAATCAAAGCGATTCTGAGATTTACTCCAGCTACACAGTCTAAACCAATTCACCGAGGAGCTGTCTAGTAGTGAAGTGCTCTGTCATGGCTACATAATGCATACAAACAGGTTGTCATGCATTATTACTGCAATATGCTTTAGTTCAACATGAACACGATAACCCAGGACACTCACTGAAATATATCAATAGATAGAGCATTTGTCCTCTGACTATGACCCTCTTTTTGGAAAAATTCCCCCTTGTTACCAAGATTCTGAAGCAGAAAGTAGCTGTGCTGATATCTGGAGTAGAATATAAATTGAACAAGTAAAAATAAACATTTTAATATGTTTTCCTGATTTACTCCCCCTTCCTACATTTTTTTGTTTTCTCTCTCTCTTGAGACAGGAAGGAAGTGAAGTCAGGTACTACTAAACAAAAGACATAGAGAGTCCTGACAGTTAAAGGCATCAAAATTCAGCCTCTGCTTCAAATGTGTGACATTACAAACACTAATCCATTTTACTCATTTCACAGGGTAAATTCATCCTTCTGATTACTTACCACAGGTTCCTCTACTAAGCCAGAGATATTTGTTTCTTTTTTAAGAAACGCATGCAAATACATGCATGTCAATTAAAAAACATTAGTAGTGGGGTTCTATGTTCTTTTAAGTTTTATTTGGATTCTTATTTAGTGGAGGGGTGTTGGGGTGTTGGTGTTTGGGTTTTTTTTGTTTTGTTTGGGGGTTTTTATTTTGGGTTTCTTTGTTGTTGTACTTTTGTTTGTTTGGCTTTTTAAATAAATAGTCTTAGAACTTGGATGAGAAATAAAATTTGAATGGAATAAAAGTATATGGAGTATAGAGGTGTATGATAGTAAAATTTAGCTGAAAGTAATTTTAGTAAAAGTTAAATGACAAGACTTCATGCAATTTCTTCTTACTTTTTGGCCTGTGTAATGAATAGTAATCCAATCCCCATCTTTTAACCACCAGATTTTGAAGTGTTTATTCTCTAGACATCTCTTAACAGTAGTTATGTCCTATGCCCTGTAGATTAGTAATAGAGACTTTATATGGCATTAAAAACCAGAGTTAAAGAAATAACAAAGAACAGTCAAAAATCTAGAAGGGACATGTAAGGGCAACATGAAGTAAGCAGCATTAATTAGTTACATTTTTATAAAATTAAATCATATTACATGTGATATCAATGACTCTTCAAAGCCTATTGCTCAAACTACCAGATAAACTGAAAGTCCATAAAACATCAGTTAAATTGCTCTGTTTTCAAATGGTACTTTTCAAGGGAACTCTCCTAATGCTTCAAGCCCTGTAACGATTTTCTTCACAGTCCTCAACAAATTAGCCTGTTCTTTTGATAAGTGATCAATGGTTCTTGCATTTACTGTAGAAACAGAAAAAAGGCACTTTGATTACTGGTAAAGTGATGTTTGTTTGTTTGTTTTTCCTTTTGGACTTTGTTAACAAAACCCCATAATAGCCAGATTCTTTAAGCCTATAAATTCATGGAATTCTATTTCATAACATCTTATGTTAAAATATCTAGTAAATTGGCAGTTAGTATTCTTTGGTATATTTAATGTTGTTCTGCTTTCAGTAGCACCTTCACAGATGTCTGAAACTTTGGCGTAGCTATTAGAATATGGTGTTAGAATGTGACCTGGTTGTGTCAAATGAAATATCTTTGGCTGTACCCATCTATGAGTTAAGAATATCCTGAACACTGAACAGAGATCCCTGTGAACTCAATGAATGTTTTCTACTTTTCCATACAATATATTCATATTGATATATCCAGCATTGCATATAACTCTCAGAAAATACATTCTCCTCTGCCTTTCACTTCACCCACTTCTAATCTCATTGGACCTGTATGTGCTTCTTAAATGTATTTTTGTTTCCTGGTGACTGCAGTCACCTTTGGCAATTGGTCAGAATTGCAAAGCAAAGCTAGGTGAACCTCTGTGACTATGGATTTGAATAAAATGCTACAGCCTAAGTGTGATGGTATTTGCTTTTTTAGATTTTATATACCTCCTAAAATATCTCTACCTTGCTTCCATTTCACTTATTGGTTCTATGGTACTTGGAGTTAATGAAAACAAATGAAGAAAGAGAACAACATATTCAGGAAAAAAGAAAGTAGTGTGAATTCTGTAAGGTGTTATTGTACCTTTTTCGTTCTTTATTTTCAATTCTACTGTTAATGAGGTTTGATATTCCCTCCAGGCCACAACTTGACATAAATCAAATGAATTTTAATTACTCCAAGAGAGATGGTTGATTAGAGTGACTTTTTCTTTAATTCCATGTTTGTTCATTTAGAATTTAATACAAATGTTTATTTTAGTTAATAAACGTTTAACTGGTTTCTGAGGAAGGCAGTGAGAAAACTAGAAGACAGTGGGTTTATTTTCAGGTATACAATGCACACAGTCTTTGAAAGCAATTCTTTCACTTAATTTTGAAGTTTTTACTATGTATTTATTAGTTAAAATGCATTTTATGTTTTGCCGCAATTAATTTTTTCTCTTCAAGGGCAACTGGAACTGGAACTTTTGTCTTCATTGGAAAGAATTGCAGTTAGGACAAAACCTGATACCTCCTGTTCAGGTACTTCCACATGCTACAATATTGCAATTAGAGAGCAGAACAGTTCCTCATACTTATGAACTGGCAAATGTGCTAAGAAAACAGTTCAAAACTCAGGTAAAAGGCATAGATGGGAACTTCTGTGTGATTAACTTTCAAATACACCTATACACCAAAATTTCATCGTGCACAGTATACCGAATACTCCAAAAATGAGTTTTTATCTCCCCAGCAATGCCTCTGGTCGTAGATAGCCTGTAATGCTTTTTATCTGCGCTAGCATACATCACTATCCTATATGCAGCTGGAAAACCACAACACGTGTGTGTTTGTGTGTATACGTGTACGTATGCAAGCACCTACACGCACATATATGTATGTACATGCACATACTTATGTGCATGTTACACATGCACATTTGTAATGCATTAACATCTGGTACTTGATGCTAAAATTAGATCACAGCAAGTGAGATTTGGAGCCCTCTGGAAAGAACTCATTGCAGCAGGATCCCGAAATATTCTAACTATAAGTGATTTTTAAAATAGTGTATCTGAAGCTTTTGTTAATCCTAATATTTTTTTAATGAAATATAGTGAACATCGATCCATAGCCACAAAGAATGGTTGTATTGTGGAGTTATTGAACCGGAACTTAAGAGTTTTGGGCTTTGATTTTTTGGTTTCTTAATATAAGGATATTTGCTCTTTCTTCTGTACTAGAGCCAGGAGTTACATTCTTCAATATAGATGGTACTCAAGACATTTAGCTAATTTCTGTTTATATTCTAGCTTTGAAAGAACTCATATTTTTGATTTGAGTATATAATATATAAATATGACTAATGAAATTCAGGAACTTGTATTTAGTATTTATAGATAACTATAAGTTCAAATGAGGAAGTTTTTCTAGTTACTCTCCAATTATGTATGAGGACCTTTATTTATCTGATAGTACTTAAAAAAACCCTATTATTTTTCTCCAGGAAAAATCAGTCATGCAGCTGTTCCACAGTGTCTTAGTCAATTGGGTTAAAACCTTTTTACCAGAATTGTTAGTTGGGAACGAAACTGAAAGGAGACACACTGGATGGACCATTATTCTGGCAGATATCAACGAACATAATAAAATCAATAACAGGAAAAACCACCATAGATCAGCATCAACAGTACTATGGAAGTCCATCATTCATGTGGAATAGTGTAGAAATCAACATTCGTTTTGAAAGTGAAGGGGATGAAGTCTGTCCTCAAAAACTGAATTTATAAGTAAATACCATGAGCAATTCATATTGAAGTCACATTAACTCCAAATTAATTCCTCTTAATTAATGTTGTTATGATGAATATCAAAGACATCAATAAAGATTAACCTATTTATTGCAGCATCTTGCTGACTGGAATAATATTTTGTAAAACTGGCACTAACATTGTGCATCTGTCTTTGCTATTTATGTAGACCTAGATGCAGAATAATTTATAGGACAACTGCTATAGCTCTAAAAATGTAGGCTTCATGAGCTTTGCTGTTTCCATGCCTGGTTGCAAACTCATTGGTACATGCCAACAGGCTTAGTGAATACCAGATGTGTTTCTGTTTCTTTGTTTTGTAAGCTTGTGTTATTATGTATCAATATATTTTTATTCCTGAATATAGATTAATGTTCAAAATCAATGGGCTTAATTTACATATTTTACATGTTTTTTCCAAAGTCATATATTAATTAAAGAAAAAAAGATACATGCAAATCAAGGATTCCTTTATTCACATTGCTCAGCATTGGACTTTAAAAGATACTTTGACCTCTTGAAGTTATTTAACCCTCTCAATGGCACTACTAGATGCAGAGAAATTTAGACATACATACAACTTATGCAAGACTGACACCACATACGTGGTGTCTTGCATAAGAATGGATGTATTTATTCCAAATTATGGTGAAAATTTAATTATTTCCCAGAAGATCCACTTAATGGAGGAAAAGATACTGTGTTTTTTCAACTGTAATAATACCTAGAAACAACAGACTTTTTGCATTTTTTGCTTTTGGGAGATTGTACAAATATTAAGCAAATATTAAATCCTGTAGGGGCAGATAGATAACACGGCTGAAGAACCATTGTGATAACTGAATGTGTTCTAGAGCACCTGGAGGCAGAATAGAAGAAAAACTTACTTTTCTTAAAGCAATTTTTTCTACTTTAAAAAATTGAGCTGTAAGTGATAGTAAAAAAGAGGTCCACTTGTTTCATGTTTGTGCCACTGGACTTTAATCTTTTACTATCTGGTTCGCCTATTAAATGTTTTTCTAGTTTGTCTAACATGCTTTTTGGCAAGTTCTTCATCATAAAAATCTGTAAACCAAAAGGTCCTTTCTGAGACAGATATAGCAGGTACAGAACTGAGGTACAGAGCTTGCTTCTGTTTGGATTGTCCAGAATTGTTTCTTTTTCAGTCACTACTTCTGGAGGGAGACATGGATACACAGGCATATGGTGTCATCCTTGGGCCTGTCCTGTGCAGGGCCAGGAGTTGGACTTTGATGATTCTTGTGGATTCCTTCCAACTCATTATATTTTATGATTCTATGATACAGTTGTTTACTGTTAGGGAGAATATGGGCATCTCAGGAAAACAGTCAATTTGATAGAGCTTTTGTTGAGATATAAATAAAGATATGCACTACTTCAGAATTGTTATTTTTTTTAAAAATCCTTTAATTAATGCAGATGCAGCCTGTGCAAAATAATGCATTTTATTTCTTGTTGACTTCTGGATCTTCTGATAAATTTGAATGTAATCCTGTTTGAACTGGAGTTTTGTCTAGAAAACAATATTGAATAAAAAATAGACAATTAGAGAAAATCCACAGCAGACAATTTTTCTAATAGCTAATTTGCATTTTAAATTAACAAGGAGCATTTTGATCTAGTCTGTACTAACCTATCTACATTCAGTGATAACCACTGTAGAACAAAGGTAACCTAGTTTAAGGCTACCTAGTTTAAGCCATCTTTTACTTTTCATTTTGAAGTTTATGTTCTTTTTCGGATAGTACAGTAGTTCCTTGAGCTCCTTTTATTGTAAGGTTCTCTTCACATTATCAACATTCACTCTGATTTATTAACAACATTGTTACAGTAGTAGTCAACAAACATCAGATGACAGGTTATATGTTCCTCTTAATCTTACTCGGTGTCCTCTTTTTTGCTTAATTCAAGGATAACATTTTTTATCTTGGGCACTGCAAAGCACTGAGAGTTCATTTGTCATTATCCACGAGTCCTTTTCAGAATTATTGTTTCTCACAAATTTTACCGTGATAGGTTTTGCAATTCTGACTTTTTTTTTATTATTTCTGTTACTTGACCTTAAATATGAATGTATCATAGTTTTCATTTATTAGTCTATTTTGTTATGTTTAGCTTTCCAAGAGAATCTGCAGAAAGGCTCCAGGAGCCGAGATTCTCTAATCTAGAATATGACCCTTGCTAATCCTCTCAATAAACAAGTGCTCTCCTATATTTCTCAGGCATCGTCCCAGAAAGCGACTCTTCTGACTTCAGCCAAACCTGACACCTGGAGGTACAGTGCAACAGTGATAGAAACCAGAAAACCTGTTAACCCATTTCTGACAATAACCCATCCCATATATTTAAAAATCTAGTCAGCACGTAGCATGGTCAATTAGGAACAGATTTGTAGGAATAAATTAGTTGATGATAAGGACCTGGCATGCACAATGCAGGTACCTGGGGCAATTTATTTCTGATTTTGTTTAATTATTTGCAATAAATGAAGCTGACATTTTAGATGTACCATGTGACTCTGATAAAGACGTGCTATTTAAGAAGAAAAAAAATCTACATTTTTCTACTTCTTCAGTAACTCACAGATAGCCATAACTATTAAGGATTTAACATTATAATAATGTAAATTTTCCCAAGACCTATCAATAGAATACAATATATTCTTTTAAATGGGACATTTCAAAGTTTTATATCATCTTTAGGTGAGTAAGTAGACAGTTATCTTCTCCATATTTCTTGGTGCTGTGACTGATTTTGTTAAGATCTTGATTCTTGCCCCAAGTTTGACTACTGGAAGTTGTTTGCCTTTTGTGACCTTTCTGCTCTCTTTATTAGTAAAGCTTTCTACACTATTCTACCTTACCTTAAAACAATACATAGCCCTTTACATTGCAGAGGATACTAAAGCAGTTTTAGACCGCATTGCACAAAATCAAACTGCTTTCTTTATATTTTTTATAATGACAAATATTCACTACCTTAATCTTATAACTTTTATCTTGAATACTGGTAAGTGGGAAAATGTTGAGAAGATAATTTTATAATCTTTCCCACTTTGACAATCAGAATTCAGCTATAATTAACGATATATCCCAATCAGAAAATGTAACCAGGGATGCATGAATTCCTAGCTACAGGCTTCAAACACACCAGATTTTATAGAGATATGTAAAATTCTGGTATTTAGAAAGTAACTTAACTATTCTTTCTTCCAGTTCTTACAGAATGTACATTAAATTAAATTTAAACATTTTGTCCAAATACTTGGAGCTATTTGCTTAATGTGCTTGATTCTCATATGCTGTAGACTGAGCAAGTGATTTGCTAGTTGAATATTTTCACTGGTCTCTATTCCATTCAAACAACTGAAATTGTAATAATGTCTGCATCTTCTATAGGGAAAGATGCTAATGGCTGGATAGCTTCTGAGCACTGTGCACTCCCCATCCTAATGTCACCTTCACATCTGTTATGCTGCTGGAAATTACTGACTAACAGGCAACCTCCATTTCTATTTGACCTTTTGAGTATTTTCATTTTTCCTTGAATCACAAGTACTAATGTTCCTCAAGCTACACAGAGGTTTCCAGGACTGTAGTTGATCAACAGAGTTATTGCTACAATCAATCTGTGAGTTATCAGATTCATCTCCCATTGGTAAGGTTTAGGCCTCCCACTCTCCTATTCACTGACTGGCAGAGTTACACCTGTGGTAACCTTCAATCCCGAGTGCATCTGCATTTGAGCTAGGAACAATCTTTCAATACTGAATCAGGAGAGTTCAGGTCTTAGCAGAAGTCATCACAGACTTGCTGTTGTTATGAGGAGGTGCACTGGTGTTTGCATGTACAACATTTTTTCAGTCTAATTCGCCAAACAATTATTATTTTTTTTTATCTATGTAATGCAAATGCCAAGAAAGCACAATATGGCTTAAAAATAAAAATGTGACAATACATCCATTCCTCATAAAAATTAAATATGACAGTGCCCAAGGCAGTGTTTCATTTGAAGCTTTTTTAATGTTCTCTGAAGGTGAAAATTTTCTAACAGATCCAAGTTTCTTTTATCTTACCTTTCAAGTATTTAAAGCAAAACCTATGTCTCCTTGCATGTGCTCCTCTATAGTTTTATATGGCATATGGATATTTCTTCCCCAGACTTAATTTTTCCTTCATAAGTTCTTCTGATACACTAGTTACTAGATTACCTAAAACAAAATGTTTCTCTAATTGCATCCATACATGGCACAGGTATACAACCTTCTTATAACTCTAGTGTTGATGATGTGGTTTCATACTTCATTTCTTCTATTTATTTCACTTTCAAAATATGTAAGTGACAGAAGTCAACAACAATGTGAAACAGAGTAGATGAATAGAGGAGGAGAACAGCATTGTGCCAATCTAAGACAAAAAAACCTACTAGTACGGTATTCTTATTTACTGAATTATCATACTCAGAACTAAAAAGGAAAGAAGAATGTTCTATTCTTACAAATATTGATTGTGGATTCACTGTGTCTTTTTCTGGGCAAAACAATTTTTTGACTAATAGCTTATTTATGGAAGGAATTGGAAGTGAGTAATGGTCAATATTACTTCTGAATACTAGTCAGTTTCAGGTAAAATTTTTAGATTACAAAATAAAGGGAATTTTTGGTCCCATTTTATTTTTATTCTGGAAAGTTCTCAAGTTCAAATGTAATGTCACCAAAACCAAGACATTCCTGCTGCACACTATTAGCCTTCTATTTATGTATTTTTTCATCCCAGCTGAATTTCCAAGCTAACCATTTGCATGCCTTTTGACTATCAGTTGACACTGAATAGAAATCCATTTTGTGTTCCCTATAGACATGGATCCAATTTCTGTGTATTTGCAATAAGCTTTAAAACAGTTTACATAATCTATACAGTTTTATTTCTTTTAGTTCACCTGTTAAATTTAGTGGAACCTATATATAAGTATGTAATTATGTTATAAAATTAGCATCTTACATTCTACTTCTATGTTGTTGTCCATAGGCTACCAGATTTTTGGCATGGATAAAAATACAGCAGCAACCATTAAAGCATCCAGCTGTTTTTTTCATATATTGGTTGGAAAAAACAATCATGATAAAGAAAATAGAAAAAGAAGCATGTAAGTATTCCAAACAAAATGCTATAACACAGAGTCAACTGGGTTAGACAAAATGATCTTTTTCATCTCACTTGCAAAAATAACTTGACATAAATGGGTGAGGAGTCTTAACATATTCTCTTTTCTTGGCTTCCCTCCATGAACTAACAGTAATGAAAGTTTTCTGTGCCAAAGAAATAAGATAAATCTATTTGTCTTTATCATGGCTTCAAAAAATATTGTCACAGGGACCACAAAAAATCTTGTAAGTAAAGGAAACTAATGATCTTATTTCTCAAAAGCCACTGAACAGCCAACAGGTAGTAAAAACATGTCAGCTCCGAATTAAGTGACACATAAACCACTAATATTCTCTGAAGAACCTCCCAGAACAAATAACCTTCGTCGCAATGTAGTTTTTGTGATTGTGAAATCTATTGCCTTAGAATGGTTTCTATTTCTGGATATTTAGACCTTCTGCTTCTTAGTGAAGTTCTCTTAAAGTATAAATTGCTGAAGGTGCAAGCTGACTATGTCTTATGTTTGCATTTCAATAGTTCATAGATTTAGTTGCACTTTGGCTACAAGATCTTATGTATGGAACTGTCACTGCATACAAGTTTTCTGCTGAAGATGATTTGTAGCCTTAACAAAGAAGGAAAAAAATAATTGTATGTATAAATAAATGTGTTCATTTTGGGTGGTGGACATCTTGTTTGTCCTTTTAGATATCTATCTTTGATCTTCAAATTTATAAGTCCAAGTTTTGGGTGGAGAGTAAAAAAAGTAATTTCCTCTTTCTTTGAAACATTTTAGGCATGTTTCTTACTCTCATTTTACTATTTTCTTTGGTGTTAAAACCAGTCTTTTTAAAGTGTGAAGGCCAATAAATCTAATGATTATACATACCCAGCATCAGTTATCAATAATTGAAATCCACATTTTTTTTTAACTTACTCCTTTTCTATGTGAGATGTTTACAAGATAGTAACTTCTAAAGTCATATTAACTCTCTTCACCTTTTCTAGAATTGCCTCCTAATCTGTGCAAAGTATGAGTCACTAGATTTGAAAATTTTTTCTTTTTTAATATCCTTTCCTTCTAGCAATATAATCAGAATATAGCCTTTGAGATCTTTTAAGTGTTCATTTCAGAACACTTGGGACTGCTGATTTGATAATAAATGAAAATTCATCCTCCTAAGACTTTTGACCTAGTTAGTTAACCCAGGTGCTGAATAACAAGTGAACTTGTTATGGACTTTCTATTTTTCTATTTTTCTTCATAATCAACTTTGGTGTTCATTAGCACTGCTTGGAAGACATGAATAATAGTGTATTAATGGATAATGCATAACAGTGTATTAATATAACTAAGTAGCTCAAACATTTTTTCAATGAAAATCATCCATTACTCAAAATAGAGATAAAATTATTTTAATAAAACTTTAGGTACCATGAAGGCAAATGAATTAAGTTTTTTTGCTAAATTCCATATTTTGGGCATCTCCAGTAAGAGCTAGGAATAGAAGTTAAGAGACCCTTTCCCCACATAATGTAATAATTAGTACTTCTGAAATAATTATGTAATAATACTACTGCTGGTGAAAACGATCTGCCAAGTCTTTCTTCTTTTTTTTTTTTTTTTGAAGCTTCAGAATGAATGGTTTGCCTCAAACAAACAAATAAACAAAAAAGCTTTTCATTCCACAGGCTATAAGAAACAGCTGTGACTAATATATCTTCTGCAGCTCCCAGCGGCTTCATATAGCATTGCAGGGAAAAACAAAAAAAAAAATCCTAATGCCTGAGGTCATGTTGAAAACAAGGTCCTTTGAGGGGAGCAAATGAGCTTGGTAATAATTGAGGAAAGCTATGTCTTACTGGAGTGGAAGAAGCAACAATGTCATTGCAGAGAGAAAGAATATTACCAGTTTTACCCTGTCTGTCTGAGTTCCAATCCTGAGTTTGCATCTCTTTGCCTGTTTCTCTCTTATATATACACGTGTATGGTGGGGGGCATGTGTGATGGACTTTTTTCATCTTTTTAAGATCAGTATGTTTTTATTTTGTTGTAATGTATTTTTGGCCAGCTATCAGCTTGATGCACCAACTGGTAAAGGCCAACTGTGAACTTGCTT